CCCCAAGCCCACTTCTCGGAATCTGATAAAAATCACACAACTAGAAAGCCCATTCGCTCACGAGTCTACCCATATCAAATTCACCAAAATCCAACATCAAATGATCATCCAAATCCCTAAAATTCTCTCTCCGAATTTTCTTTCATTTTCCCCAATTTTTACCCCAAATTCCAAAATTAAATGATAAAAATCAAGACACAATCATGGAATTTAACCAAATTTGAGTGATGAACACTTACCCCAGTCATTCCTCTGAAAATCCCCTCCAAAATTGCTTTCTCTTGAGCTCTCTAATAAATTTTGAATATATGGACTCAAACCCTCGTTTTTGAATTTAACACTGCCTGCCCATATTTCCTTCTTTGCGAACGCGACCGTCTTCTCGCATTCGCGTAGACCAACTCAGATTGCCTCTCCGCTTTACTCTTCGCGAACACGATAATAGCTTCGTGAACGCGATACTTTGCCTGCTCAAACCTTCACAAACGTGACCCCACCTCGCGAACGCATAGACCAAGGACCTAGGGTCTCCAACTGCCTCACTCCTCTTCATGAATGCGGCACCACTCACGCGTTCGCGATGCACACACTGCCCTACCCTTCGTGTTCACGTCCTCTCCTTCACGAACGCGAAGAAAAAAAATTCACCATCTCAGAAAACTCTCTTCGCAAACGCGAGGCCCCTCTCGCGAATGCGTAAGAGGAAACCAGAAAGAAAATACAGCAGCAGATCAGCTATCTCACCAAGGCCAAAAATGATCCGTTAACCACCCGAAACTCACCCGAGGCCTTCAGGACCTCAACAAAGCATGACAACACATCCCATAACATCATTCAAACTTAGTCGAACCTTTGAATCACTAAAAAATACATCAAAACACCAAATTACCCTCAGATTCAAGCTTAAGAACATCCTAATTTTCAAATTCCACAAACAACGCCGAAACCTATCAAACCTCGTCCGAATGATCTGAAATTTTGCACACACATCATAAATGACACTACGAACATACTCCAACTTCCAGAATTCTATTCCGACCCCGATATCAAAATTTTCACTGCCGAATGAGAAGCGTTAAATTTCCAATTTCGCCAATTCAAGCATAATTCTACCACAAACCTCCAAATCACATTCCGGATGTGGCCCCAAGTCCAAAATTACCAAACGGAGCTAACCCAAATTATAAAAATCCAAATCCGAGATCGAATACTAAAAAGTCAAATATTTCAAATTTAAAGCTTCAAGTTGAGAATCATTCTTCCATATTTGTTCCGATTAACCTGAAAAAAACGTGACACCAAATGCTACACCTATGAGAGACGTTTCGCCTCCCTCACGCGAAAGCGTAACCGCTTCGCGCGAAAAGGAAGCCTTCACATCTACAATAGGAGAGGCACCACCGACGGTAAAAAGACTACTGGAAGAATGGCTAACAAGCACTCTGAACAACATACTGGATAAACCCGTTCAAAGGGAGAATAGAGACGTTGCACACGTAGATGTCACGATAATTGCTGGCGAACAAGATGCCCCCCGAACAGGTACTCATGCCACTGTTGATGCAGGTAATGACACATTCGTAGCCATTCGAAAGAAAATGGAGGAAATGGAAAATGAGAACAAGGCACTCCATGCAAATGAAGGAGCATCAAGAAAGGGTCGATAAAATAACAGGCGACCCAAAGATATTACAAAAATAGGATGTTGGTCGATTCATTGAGCAACCGTACAATGAGGAAGTAGCCTCCTACGCCATACCTAAAACCTTTAAAATGCCACCAGACCTGAAAATATACGACGGTACTATAGACCGAGAAGATCATATCATCCACTATGTCACAACCGTAAAAGGCAATGATCTTTCGAAAGAACAAGTACCATCAGTGCTACTCAAAAAATTCGGCGAAACCCTAATAAGGGGAGCCCTAACCTAGTACTCACAACTACCGGCGCTGTCAATAGTAACGTTCGAGGAAATGGCGGACAAGTTTGTCATCGCTTATGCAGGAGCTAAAAGGCTGGAAGCCAGGGTAAACGACATATTCGTCGTTAGGCAGATGTCCGGCGAGGGACTCAGGGACTTCCTAGCCTGGTTTAACAGGGTGAGAATGAGCCTACCGAATGTATCAGAGGGGATGGCAGTAGCTGCCTTCAAGAATGGGTTGAGCAGGAATGGGTCGAGAGCAACCAGAAAGCTATTAAGAAGGCTCATCAAATACCCTCCCACCACTTGGGAAGAAATCCACAATGCCTATTGCGCCAGGCAAGGGCCGACGAGGATGATCTCAATGGCCCGATCCAACGGCTAACGTCAGTACAAGAAGAAACAAGGAAGAATCGTCGTAATGACGGTCGAATGGATCAGTTGGGTCACCATCTCGGCCGAGATAGACATCAGCCCTACATCAGAACAACCATCCCACCTCCCCCGCGGAACGCCTCGGCACCCCGCAGCATACCGAAATGAAAGAGATACGCCTTCGCTCTTATCTGCTCACAAATTTTGTGTTTCCCCTCAGAAATATCATACGCACTGGAGAAGCTCGGCACGAAGGTACAATGGCCACAAAAGATAAAGTCCGACCCTAGTTCTCGGAAGTCGAATGTCCTCTGCGAATTCCACCAGTAACGAGGTCATAAAACCGACGACTGCATAGGTCTATGGCAGTAGGTAGTGAGAATGCTAAATCAGGGGCACCTGAGAGAACTGATGAGCGACCGAGGACGAGCCAATTTTCCTCGCGGACGCGAACAACCCAGGGACCACCGAAACCACCCTCCCCCGCTTGTACCATACAAATGATTATCGGTGGAGGTGACGGGACAACATCAACCATGTAAAATTCACCACCACGCACAAACTCAAATGGTCGATCACTCATGAATGGTACAATGAACTCAAAGATAGTATCATCTTCGATAAGTCAGATACCAACGGTTTGTCTTTCCCTCACTACGATGCTCTTGTTATTACTTTACATATTGCAAATACTGATGTGAAAAGAATAATAGTGGACGACGGAAGCGGCGTGTGGATTATCCATCCTCGAGTCCTCATACAGATGAGGCTTGAAGATAAAATAATATCGCGTTGCATTATACTAACGGGTTTTAAATATGCAGTCGAGAAGACTTCTGGAGAAATAGTGCTAACCGTTCTAGCTGGAGGAGTCACCCTGGAAACAATGTTTCACTTCATAGACCAAGACACAGCCTACAACGCCATCATAGGGTGCCCATGGATACACAGCATGCGAGCCGTCCCGTCAAGTCTCTATCAAATAATCAAGTCCCCTACTCCATGGGTAGTATTCAACATCCGGGGCGAACAACGCACCGTGCAAGAATGCTATCGCATCGCCTAACATTGCGCATATACCCAACAACTAAAGGGAGCAAGCGCTGAAGCATAGCAATTAGCGATGTCGTGAACCAATCTCGATGTACAGATAGACATTATCAAGGATCCCAATATCGTGGAAGCCGCCGAGTCAACTATAGAAGATCTCGATCCCGTCCAACTAGACGAAAATGACAGCACAAAAAAGGCTTACATCGGGCACAATCTCTTAGAACTAGGTAAATTTCATAAATTCTTAGCTGACAGTGCCGATTTGTTTGCCTTCTCCCATTCAGATATGCCAGGCATCACGAGAGACATCACCACGCACAAATTAAATGTTGCTCTCTATCCATCACTACAGCAAATAAGGAGAAAGTTCAACGCCGCAATCAATGAGGCCGTCAGCGAAGAAGTTGATAAGCTGCTCACCAATGGCTCCATCCGAGAGTCAAAGTATCCCCAATGGGTCGCCAATGTGGTCATGGTGAAGAAGAAAAACGGAAAGTGGCGGATGTGTGTTGATTTTACGAACCTGAACAAGGCATGCCCAAAAGACTCTTTTCCATTGCCACATATCGACCAGTTCATCGACGCAACAGCGGGACACGAGTTGCTAAGATTCTTAGATGCCTACTCGAGTTACAACCAGATCCTCATGGAGGAACAGGACCAAGAGAAAACTACTTTCATCACTCACTAGGGAACGTACTGCTATAGAGTCATGCCATCCGGACTAAAAAATGCGGGGGCGACATACCAAAGGTTAGTCACCAAGATGTTCAAAGATCAACTTGGCAAAACAATGGAAGTCTACATTGATGACATGCTAGTTAAATCGAAAAAGAAAGAGGACCACATCGATCACCTGAAATAAGCCTTCGACATTCTGAGGCGGTACGACATGAAACTAAACCCTGAAAAATGCGCCTTCGGCGTGACCTCGGGCAAATTTCTCGGTTTCCTAGTATCACAAAGAGGCATCGAGGTCAATCCAGACCAGATCAAGACTATCTAAGGAATACCCGAAATGTTAACCAGCAAAAAGCAGGTACAAAAATTGACAGGTCGGATAGCTAACCTTTCAAGGTTTAGCCACCCTTTCAAGGTTCATCTCACAGTCATCGGATAGATGCCATAAATTTTTTAATGTGCTAAAGAAAGACAAAGGACTCCAGTGGAATTTAATGTGTCGACGCCCTGAGAAAACTAAAAACCTACTTGTCCTTGACGCCATTACTCGCCAAGGCAGATGTAGGCAAAAGCCTTCTTGTCTACCTAGCTGTCTCCGAAGTCGCGGTAAGCGCGGTTTTGGTCCGCGAAAACAAAGGTATGCAATCTCCAATTTATTATATCAGCAAAACCTTAATTGATGCTGAAACGAGGTATCCCCACATTGAAAAATTGTCCTTGACGTTAGTCATAGCTTCACGAAAGCTTAGACCATATTTTCAATGTCACCCCATAAAAGTGGTGACAACCTTCCCCCTGAGGAGCATCCTACACAAACCCGAACTGTCGGGTAGATTTGCCAAATGGGCTATAGAATTGAGAGAGCATGATATAACATATCAGCCGCGAACTGCGATAAAGTCACAAGTACTCGCCGATTTTGTCGCTGACTTCAGTGCAGAAATATTATCCGAGGTCGAGCAAGAAGCGCTTCACACCTCCTCTGGACGACCCGACCTCTGGGTCCTCTACACCGACAGTGCATCTAATGTGTCGAGGTCAGGACTGGGACTCGTACTTGAAGTCCCAACCGACGAAGTAATTCACCAATCCATACGGTGTCCCAAAATGACTAACAATGAGGCCGAGTATGAAGCCGTAATTGCAGGACCAAAACTTGCCCTCAAGTATAGTGCACGGGGAGTCATCCTCCGATACGACTCACAACTCATCGTCAACCAATTTACTAGGACTTTCCAAATTAAGGAGTAAAGGCTACAGAAATATCGGGAAGAAATCCATAAGCTACAACCAGAATTCGACGAATGCCGATTCGATCAGATACCTCGGGGGCAAAACATCGAGGTAGATGGTCTCGCCAAACTGGCCACGGAAACCAAAAATATTAGCAAGGAAAACGTGGTCACCCTCCTCCACTCATCAATAGACCAAGTTGAGGTACATTATATAAATTTAACCTGGGACTGGTGCAACCGCATCATAACATATTTGTAGGAGGGAACACTCCCACAAGACAAAAAAGAAGCCAAAAGGCTTTGAATACAGGCGGCCAGGTACAGCCTCATAAATAAAGACCTTTACAAAAGAACGTTCAGCGGTCCTTTGGAAAAAAGCCTAGGACCAAATCAAACAAGGCGCGTGCTCGAAGAAGTACACGAGGGTCACTGCGGTGCCCATAAAGGCAACCAAGCCCTCATCAGATGCCTCATTCGTGTAGGATACTACTGGCCTACTATGAAAAGGGAAGCCGTGGATTACGTCAAAAAATGTGAGCAACGCCAAAAGTATGCACCTATGATACACCAAGTGGGCGAACTCCTACACTCCGTCACTTCACCATGGTCGTTTATAAAATGGGGAATGGACATCGTCGGACCCTTCATAGTAGGGCAAGGTAAGATACACTTCCTTTTAGTTTTAACTGAGTACTTTTCCAAATGGGTGGAAGCAGGTGCGTTCACCCAAATACGCGAATAGGAAGTCATCATATTCATATGGAAAAACATCATATGCCGCTTCATCATTCCCAAAGAAATCAGCTGTGACAATGGACCTCAATTCATCGGGAAAAAGACGACCGAGTTCTTCGAAAAATGGTGCATCAAGCAAATACTCTCCACGCCATACCATCCCGCCGGCAATAATCAAGCAGAATCCTCCAACAAAATAATATTTAATATACTAAAGAAAAAGCTTGAGGATGCCAAAGGGCTATGGCCAGAACTGCTACCAGAGGTGTTATGGGCCTACCGCACCACGCCAAAAACTAGCACAGGTGAAACGCCATATTCATTAGTCTACGGGACCAACGTCGTTATACCCGTTAAGGCTGAAGAACCTATCATGAGATACTCCCACGAGAGTGGACCAAACAATGACGAGAAAAGAATACAAGACCTGGACGAAGTGGAAGAACGGAGGTATATGCCTCATGTAAGGATGGTATCCCAAAAACAACAAGCAGAAAGGTACTACAACAAGAAGGCCAAAATATGACCACTCAGAGTCGGGGAATACGTCCTCAAGGCCAAAACACAAGCAACCAAAGACCCAAACGAAGGAAAATTGGGAACCAACTGGGACGGGCCATATAAAATCATAGCAGCAACAAGCAAAGGGGAATTCCAACTAGAAACAATGGAAGGAAAACTACTACAAAACAGCTGGAATGTCGCCCACCTCAAATACTTTCACTTCTGAAATACAACGCCACCCAAGTCGTACTCTCTTTCCCTCACCCGGGTTTTGTCCCAATCGGGTTTTCTTGGGGAGGTTTTTAACGAGGTGATGAGGGTGACGTCTCAAAGTTCAGAGCATAATTTATCGCCCTGCCTGCCGATGGCATCCCCACGACGAGCAATGAAGGGACTAGATACAAGAAAATTTTAATGTATGAACGAAATCGACATGTATATCCAATGTATGAATGAAATCGACATGTATCTCCAATGTATGAATGAAATCGACACGTATCTCAAATATATGAATGAAATCGACATGTACAATACTCTAGTAGATGAAATAAAACATCTCCACTGATCCTTCGCAATTAAGAGTTTGACCTTGCTCGAAACGCAATGGGTTAGCATTTCGAAATTAACTCAAAATAACACCCTTACGGCAAAGGCTGTCGCCAAAGGCAAGAGTTCGACCTTGCTTGAAATGCAACGGTTTAACATTTTGGCATTAACTTGAAATAACACCCTTACGGCAAAGGCTGTCGCCAAAGGCAAGAGTTCGACCTTGCTTGAAATGCAACGGTTTAACATTTTGGCATTAACTTGAAATAACACCCTTACGACAAAGGACATCGCCAAAGGCAAGAGTTCGACCTTTCTCGAAACGCAACGGGTTAACATTTCGACATTAATTCGAAATAACACCCTTACGGCAAAGGACGTTGCCAAAAGGCAAGAGTTCGACCTTGCTCGAAATGCAACGTGTTAATATTTCGACATTAACTCGAAATAACACCCTTATAGAAAAGGCCATCACCAAAGGCAAGAGTTCAACTTTGCTCAAAATGCAATGGGTTAACATTTCGACATTAACTCTAAATAACACCCTTATGGCAAAGGCCGCCGCAAAAGGCAAGAGTTCTACCTTTCTCGAAATGCAACGGTATAAAATTTTGACATTAACTCGAAATAACACCTTTACGGCAAAGGCTGTCACCAAAGGCAAGAGTTTGGCCTTGCTCGAAACGCAACGAGTTAACATTTCGACATTAACTCGAAATAACACCTTTACGGCAAAGGCTGTCACCAAAGGCAAGAGTTTGGCCTTGCTCGAAACGCAACGAGTTAACATTTCGACATTAACTCGAAATAACACCCTTACGGCAAATGCCGTCGCCAAAGGCAAGAGTTCGACCTTGATCGAAATGAAATGGGTTAACATTTCGACACTAACTCAAAATAACACCCTTACGGTAAAGGTCGTCGCCAAATAAAGAGCTCGACCTTGCTCAAATCATTTAATAGTCGACGTCACACGGATTACTTGACTTCCGACATCGCCTTGATTATGATAAAATATCATACAAAGTTGGGTAGCCTAGGGCCCTCCCACAACAAAAAAACACACACAACAAGAAAACAGTCCAGAGGTACACAAAAAAAAGTAACTGCTCCATTACAGCTGATATTATAAGATGTTTTCTACAAAGGGCTCAAGGACGCCCCGACAAAAATAGTAAAGCAAAAATAAATACAACCAAGTCCTACACCACATCATCCCCCATGGTATACTCCTCATTGTGACAAGAATCGGAGGCGAGCTTGTCCACATCGTCATAGTCAATATCATCTCCACCAGGCATGCCGGGGTCGTAACCACATGCCTTATGAGTGGCACGTGCATTAATACGCACCTCCCGAAGTTCTACCTCGGACACCTTTGCATCGACACGAAGAGATTTATACACGTCAAGTTCAGCTTCGGTATGAATCCGCATCTCATATAAATCTCGTGGCACGATAGGGTCGGTCGAAGCATGAGATGTAGAGGGTTGCGACTGCCGTCGCATATCCTCCACTTTCAAAGCAATAACTTGTTCATTTAACACAGACAACTCTGCCTCTAGATCTCAGATATGTCCCTCAAACCTCATTGTCTAAAGAACAGACGCCTCTCCCTCCTTGTCCCGCTCTGATCTACAAAAAAGAAGGGCATATTCCAAAGCTGCTACCTCTGAGATGGCAGCCACCCTATCCCTTTCAGCATGAGTCAATCCATCAGCCTTAGCGCTCAGCTCGCCCCTAAGGTCGACAGCCTCCCCTGCCCTCCTGTCAAGCTCAGTCGTTAAGGTGGAAATCCGCAATTGAAGGTTGGTGTTCTTGGCCATCACCCCCTTACTCATCTCTAGTTCATCTTCTTTGGCCTTAAAAGCCACCTCAAGTTCGCTGCATCAGTCAATGGCCTTCATCAGGTCTTTGTCCCGCTCCTTCAGCTCTTCGACTTTCTGCGCCAACTGTTTCTCCTTTTGCTTGAGCCCGTCACGAAATAGCT